ATGATGATGGTATAAGGAATGGTAAGTCAAATATATCTATCATGACCGGATGGGAAGTGGTTCAAGAGAAATTTTTGAATGTTGGTGACAACATGAAACTGTATATCAAAGAGGAACTGAGGAAGATTGCATATCTAGAAACCACAAATTTGAAATCACCTTCACAACCGGTAAAAAAAAATGGTTCTCCTAAAAAGGTTAAACCAACACAGAGTGACAATTAAATGGCATGGTCTATTCACCCATCTCTAGATCATTTCTATAATCGTGATTCCTACCCAACATAACAGATTATAGATGCTAAGAGTGACAATAACTGCGATTATCAAATTATTTCATCTTTACTCATTAACAAAGAGGAGAACCATACACTTACTTGATAAGGAATCATACACGATGTTTTACAGGGGGGGGGGGGGAAATAATGTTTTGATGCAATTCATCAATCGCTTATTCCTTGTGTTAGCGGCTCGGCATTGGAGGGAAAATGGATGCACTTTCCTAAAACGGGTCATCATATAGCAAGTGCATATAATATGATTTGTATTGATCTCACAAGATACAACTTCTCGGAACTTTTTTTCCACTTCAGAGTTGCCCACCTTAAAATCCAACTTGACACATTATTTGTATTGGGTGGCTTTCAAAATTACTACATTTTGTTCAAGTTTACTTAGGATGGAAGAATTCTCTAAGTTGAGCGAGATTGAAAAAGAGTCGAATAAGGAAAAATGTAAGGTAGAACCATCCATATATATAGATTTAGGTGTGAAACATGTTTTGATTGTAAGTATGAGAGGAAATCTAAGAGGGGGTTGTGAATTAGATATGTTGAACTTTTCTTGTTTACATGAAAAGTTTCTTATTTTTTAATTTTATCGAAAACAAGTGATTAATTGAAGTTTTAATATGAATGTAAAGGGTAGAAAATTAAAAGCATAAATGTAAAAAAAACACACAAGAATTATACTAGTTTCCCTTATTAACCAATGGTACGTTCAGTCCCTCTACTCCTCAGAGGATATTACACCATAATTTGACCCTTGTACAAGTCTTCACAAAGATCTCCCTACAACCTTTTAATACATACACAAAATAAAGAAACCTACTTCCTATTACAACAACTTATCACCACAAACTTTGATGATTAATTCACAATAGACACTTTGAACGATTTTGAATAAAGTTGGTCTTGACTTGATTCCAAGTTCTATAAATTGTTATTATATTTATGTATATTATAATCCAAACTAACATACGTTAAGTGCTCAGAATATTTGATGAAACTTTTGAATAATTTGAAAGTGGTGCCAAAAGTTTTAACACTTGAAAATGAATGAACATTTAGAAAATGTGTTTGAATTGAAATGTAAATGATTTTTAGAAAGAGGTGAATTGTGTCTCTGATGTATAGATCATTATATGACACCCCTTTTAAAATGATATATAATTTTAAAATGGAATCTTGAAGCATTAAAATGAGTTACACACATTCTAATTTTTGAAAAAGTGCAATGTTTCAGCTAGTATTCTAATACTAGGATGTGGTAGTCAAATACCACTTCACAACGTTCAATTTTTTTTCAAAATTTTCACACTGGTATTCGAATACCACTTTTTTCATAACTCTTTTTTTTCTCTTCAAATTCTTACACTAGTATTCGAATACCACATTGCTTTTTAACATAAAATGACTTTTAAAAGCAGTGATTCATGTATGCTTATGTATAATGATGCAAATAATGTTTAGATGAAGTGAGATATGAAATTCTGAGCATCTTAAAGTAGTATATCAAAGATTGTAATGAGTATCTTAGTTATGTTTACTTGTCGAAAATCTTCACTTGAATTTCTATGTTCAACCTTCTTGATGAACTTCATTAATGATGTTCATAACACTTTTAATTATTTTTCTTCTTTGATAAATATTGTCTTCATCAAAACTAAATTATATATAAGATGTCTTATTCACATTCTCCCCTTTTTTGATGATTACAAACACTTTGCATTTGTGTTTTTTATAAGGATTGAAAAGTCTCCTCCTTAATTAGTAAATCTTGTAACTTTTAACATTGAAGTCCTGCAATTTTAATTGAAACATAGAAAAACACAACCAAACCTTTTCTCTACATTTTGACATTATCAAAAAGAAAGAAAAAAAATCCGCTAAATTTGATAGAGAAGCATGCATATAATATATCATACAAGTCAACCATACATACAATGAGATAACAATCATATTAGGCCATTATATTACGAATCCAAATGCATAATTAAAACATAAACCAAGTTATAAACATACTAAGGACCAGAGTACTGAAAAATATACAATTAAATAAAGTAAGGACGTAGCTTAAATGAAATGAAAGAAAATGCAAAAGAACATAGATGGAAGTCTCATGACACAACTAGTCTTCCTCATTTCCATCAAACTCAAGTTGCCCCAAACGGTGAGAAAGGCCTTGAAAATTATTCTCAATGGACTCAAACTTATTGATCAGTGGGGGTGAATATACTCGAACCATTCTCGTTGGCTTAAGGACACTTGAAATTCCTACTGAATGGAGTCGATTACTTCACCAAATGCATAACTGTTGAGGTTGTGGAAAAAATAACAACAGAAATAGTGTGTCATTTCTATTGGAGAAATATTATTTACAAGTTCAAGCTACCTAAAACCATCACTTCCAACAATGGGACACAATTCTCCAATTTAGTAGTGGTTGAGTTATGTAAAAACTTAGGAATCCTGATGAAATTCTTATCATTCGAGCATCCCCGAGCAATTATATGGTTGTACCACATGGCCCATCAATTTTCAACCAAGGAGATCCAATTTCAAATGGTTTATAGGTCAAATGCTCCTGGTTGAAATTAACATGCCTACTTAGTGGTGAGACCACTTCAATGAAGAAGACAACCAAGCTAAACTTAAAGGCTTAACTGAATTGTTGAAAGAGGTCATAGATGTGGCTCAAGTACAAGAATTAATGGAGAAGTGGTGAGCATAGAGAAGATACAACACCAAAGTGATACCAAGAAAGGTAGAAGAAGGTAGTCAGATATTAAAGTAGATGGTGGATGCGACTAATAAAGGCAAGATGCATCCAAATTTGGAGGGGCCCTATCGAGTGCGTCATAAGTTCTCAATGGGAGTAAAAGTTAGAAAGTCTAAAAGGAACTAAGGTTCCTAGAAATTGGAATGTTGTGAACTTAAGGCACTACTTCATGTGGAAAAAAAGCCCTAGTGGCCAAATAAAGTGTATGCATAAAATATTATTAATGAATAAATGATGCCTTGTGGTAGCACGTTTTTTCCCTGCTAGTGCGTTGGTTTTTAATGAGCCACCCGTGATGTTTTGAATATATCTTATTTCTTTTATTTGGTACAAAGCTCAGGAAAAGAAATAAGACTCTTAGAAGAGCACAAAGTACAAAATCATTAGACTTTCCTTGCACAAATTAAGACTCTTAGAAGAGAACCAAGAAAGAACCCATTGGGTTCGCCTTGTAAAATTAGAAGATCCATAAGAAGGAACCCACATGGCTCTCCTTGCAAAATTAAGACTCTTAGAAGACTACCAAGCAGGAATCCACCATATTTTCCTTGAAATTTTAAGTTTATTAGAAGATTGCCAAATGGGAACCCATCGTGCTTTCTCTCATTCACTTAAAACTATTACAGAAAATTAGAAGAAACCGACAGATTCCCCTTTCACGTTTTTAAACATTATAGATATTTTCCAAAACACACCCACAAAGAGGACATATATAGATAAAGTAAGAATAACATAAGGAAGTGAATCCAAACAAACTGAAGTAAACCATAAAGCACCAATAACTTAACATAATAAAGATTGCCATTATAAAATTGCAACTTAGGCTTAAAAGGTTGGGTACAAGAGTAAAGGAAATGGAATACATAAAGAGGAAATGAAACCCCTTGGCTTCAAGAGCGATGTCAGCAGGTTTTTCTCTATAAGGCCACCTTTTTTCTGAATCACCCTCTCAATGTTCTTCATCTACTTTAGAGAGGACTCTTTGCCAAGCTCGGTTTCTAAGTCCTAAACAACCTTAGAGTCAGTTTCCTCTACTAGGAAATCATCCACCATGACTTTAAAGTAATCAATCTCACCCATGTCGAGTTGAGGATAAATATAAAGCACTTAAGCCTTTACTTTCTAAAATCCCTAATTCTTGATGATGAGACTATCAATTCACGCCTCCTTAAGATCGGCCCAGAGAGATTGGAGATGAAAGATGTGGCTTTTAGTTGCTTTCTTAAGAGAACCTATTTCATTCTAAACCTTTATGAGCTTCTCTTAATGACTCTTAGAGTGAGTTTCCATAGAATTTTTCAACCCTAGGACAGAGTCACGCCCCCCCTTCCCAACTTTCAACTATGCCTCAAGGGAGGATATCCTCCTGTTGGCAAAGTTAGCAAAGTTTGATTGACCTCTTGAGATTTTTTTTTCTTCTTAAGCTCACTCCTAATCTAATTCTCCTTTTGGCTAGAGGAGTCTGAATCTTAACAAAGAGCTCTCCTTAAGAAGACGCTCTTCATCTACTAGGATCCCAAGAATTGAAGCATTTTTTGAGCACCCATTGTCTTTAGTGGCATTGAGATGGTCATAAATGAAGAATAGACCTTCAAAGATCTGGTTTCCTCGCCTTGAGCAGAGAAGTCGCCTTTATAAGGCATGTACCCTTTGCCACACATCACACCATCTACTTCAAGGTCAATCGAGGTAACCACGTCGAAATCCACACGAGACTTCCCCGTATATTCCTTAACTATCTTTATTGTAGGTGATTTTTAACCTCTAGAGCTGAACTAGATGAGATTACTTTAATAGACGCGCCCTCTGTTGTATTATTTCTCTTTTTTGGTTCTCATGATTGATAGCTAGTGAAATCACTTTGGTGTATAGTCTGAGTCTCGCCGTAATGGGCTTTGGCCTTCGCCATTGTGGCTTTACTCTCAGCCACACAAACTTGTGTCATCCTTGCTGCAAAATAAAAAGAAGAAGGGAGGTTGGTAAGAAGTAGATAAATAAGGATAACATTAAACAAATGTGGGGAAAACAAATTACCCAAAAACTCCAATAATTTGGAGTGGTCACTATATGATACAAAATTGTTCCAAAAATTGGATCGCCTCTTTCTCTGTGACACTTGGTTTGTTTAGGTTGTAACCGATAATTGCCATATGCTGACTCGTCCAATAGAGAGGAAATCGAAAAAACCCCATCATCCTCATAGATAACTTTAGGAAAGTGAACGTTTCCCCTAACCTTGATAAACTTATCTTTCCCATTCCTTATAATTGGAGGAATATGGAAAAAGCAGAGCAGACCAGGGATGACACTCACAAAAACCCAAATACCCTTAGCCACCACAACTTTAGTTTCATACAAAGAGAAAAGGACGTCAGTTGTAGGTGTGATATAGGCCCTAACAAATAATATTGAATCTTCGTGCAAAGGCCCAAATTTTGGGATAAAATTGAGAAGGGGCGACATTGAGTATCTTAAAGAGCTCAGACTCGAATAGAGTAATGGGGACCACCCCGAAGTTGTCAATAAGCCCGACATTAAATTAGTAATATTCATTTGGAACTCCAAGAGTCCGACACATGAAAACTTTCATTATCGATATACAAGGTTCCAGGATTATGCCAGCTTTGTCATCGAGACAAATTAATTCAAAACTCAATACCTATTTGTTGAAAAGGATGGCAAAAAGCTCCATGGTGATCTTAATGAACATGAGGAAGGCGAACCTGAGGAAGAAGAAGAACTAAGGGATATTTCATACACCTCCCTCGCCACGAAACCTCATCCACATCCCCCGTGTTTTGTTTGGAGGCCTTTACACACTGCCTATACAACTCATTTCTTTATGAAACGGTTCGAGGCTTTACAACATTGCCAAACTTATTAACATCCCGAATAAATACCATCAAAAATAAATCCAAAAAAAGAGAAGAGATCAATTTATCACCCAACGATGTAGGGTGAATAAGAAAAGGGGTGAGTTAGGGGCAAGTTTACTGTTAAAGAAACCCATGATGACTCAGAAGCAAGAAAACTAAATTTTGGATAAGATGACTCTAGAGAAAAGAAGAGGAAAAGGTTGGCTCAGCGTTTGATTTGAGAATGTGAGATGATGTGAAATGTCAGCGCTAATTTATTAATAGATTCAAATGACATGTTTAAATAGTGGCCACATTAAAGGCTGAACCGCTTAAAGGAATATGGGAAATGATGAAAAGTCTTTATGTGAGTATCAGAAAAGTTAGACATTAAATCTAAGTGTATATCTCCATACAAAATATCAAGAAATAAAGGGTCAAACTATGACGTGGATAATAGAGGGATCAGGCTCGGGTGAGTCCCCAACGGTGGATATTGGTAACATTTTCACTCATAGGAAAAACGATGAGATAACTTCCCCACATATTTCAACATGAACGAGTCCTAGCCAACGAGATAATAATAGCCTATCGCGAGATAATACATGAAGATGTGGATCAATCCAGCTTCCCAACCGAATTATCTAGCTCTTACTTACCTAATGCTTGGGGGAATTTGTACATTTTGGGTTTTGGTTTTGGGTTCCAAAAGATATGATAAAAACCTCTTCCTTAAGCATCTCGCTCCTACGTGTCTCTATTAGTTGTAAATTTGACGCTCAAAAGGAATAAGAAATGTCAAGATGATTTTTGAGAAGAAATAGACAAATTGTCTTCGACGAAGAAGTCAGATAGCATTTCGACTGAAGTCTGGCAAAGAAGCTGTGAAGTGTTGAAATGATACAACGGTGGGACTTAGAGTTTCAGAAATGATTCGAAGTGAGTTCGACAAGAATGTTGGCTTTATCTGTTCTTTGAAAAAAGGACGCGTGGAAGCATGTGAATGGAAAAGCACAGGCAAACGAGAACGTGTCATTTTCTGGAGAAAAGATCGGTTGTTACTGTTATTATCGAAGTAGTATAAATATGAGTCTTAACATTAGGATTATATGTGTTCAATATTGTACAAAACTCATATTCACTTAAAGTACATATGTGTTATTGAGAAAAGAGTTTTCTGAGAAATGTGTGTATGAAGCACCATCTTTACTTTCAATGTTAATTTATTTTCATTAAAGTCATTTACACTTCCTTAAAATTCTAGTCAAAACTTCTTCATCTTCCTGTTATTTTCATAAATAGCTTATGCACCACTTTCAAATTTACAATCATCGTCGAAGAAATTAGCATTAAGAAAACTAAAACAAAAACTATACACATTTATCCTAGGATCAATCTAGTCGATCATATAAGTAACCAAAAGAATTTGATTTTGGAAGACTAGAGGTTGTTTACTAAAAACTAAGGTAAACAAATTGGCACACCCGGTGGGACCCTATTGTGTCTAGTTTGCGTGTTTTATAAAAAAAATCTGCATTTTTGTTCATACAAATTTTTCTCAAACATTGTTGCATGAGATTAAGAAGTGGTAGAGTTGCCCAAACTAGCGAAGAGATACCAAAAAGAAAGTATGTTATAAGAATGGTCAATCTACCTAACAACAATGGAAAACAACCCCCAATCGACAGGGGAGAATACGGCCACAATGTATGTGAACAAACCAATACCCGCTACGATGAGTACGGGGACAATATTGTCGAATACTCAGAGTGGACCAATACTCTCTTTCTCAGTGAGAACTCAAGGTCAACCAGTGACCCCAAGGCCACCAGGACTAGTAATTTCAAAAACTATGTGTCCAAATTTACAATGCCAATGAATGGTCGCAAACAGCCTTACGGCATGCCAACTTGTGTGATGATAAGTTTGCATAATAATTTTCATACCCCATTTTTGCGCCTTTCATTTCTTTCATCTGATTCATATCTTTCTTTTGAAAGTCGATCATCTTGCATATTTTCATCTTCTGTTATCGTATCATTTTCAGAAAAAATAAAAAATTGAAGTATTTGTTACTTTCTTTTTAAATTCATATTTTTGTTTCACTTTAATTCAAAAACTCAACAACAAAAAAAAGTCTTTTATAATATCCCTTGGAGTTGCATTTTTATTATTAACTCATTTTAATTAGAAAAAAATCAAAAAAAGAAGTCAATATTAATTTCATCTGTTTTAATTATTTTTAATATTATATTTTTTTATTTTATTTGATTTTTTTTATATTATTAGTTATTCCTTTTATCATTTTATATTTTAGTTTTAAACCCTTTTATATTTTCACTAATATTGTCATTTTTCATTATTATTATTACTATTTTGTATTTGGTGTACTATTTTGTATTTGCTATTTTATCAAAAATAGAAAGAAAGAAAAAACAATTGGAAAGATCATTAAACACATTCACATTTCAAGAGCAACAAGTTACACCAAATACAAACTTTCAACGTTTACATCAAAATGCATCAAGCAAGATTTGTTGCAAGAAAAAGTGAAAAAGGATTGCATCAAAATGGGTACAAGGGAGCTTAACAAGCAAGTGTTCTTTTTCAAATCTCCCTTTCAAATTCCAACTTGATACTATATAACAGAGACCTTTATCACAGCAAGGGGGAAGAAATTAAGAAAAAAGTATTAAGAAAATAACTCTGCTCAAAAAGTTGACTCAAACTTCCTCCATAAAACTTGTTCCAAGCTTTCAACATGCAGTTTCATCACAACAATTCAAATAATCCAAAAATCAACATAACACGTCACTTCAACGCATCTTAATCTTCATTCCACCTGCAAGTAAAACTAAGCATCTTTGTCAACGGTAACTTTTCGAAGCAACATCATCACTAAATTCACAGACCTGCATCCATGCCCAAGTCACAACATAGATTCTCAGCTTCAACGCTTTAACCGTACAACACATCAACAAATTGCAAACTAGAATTTCCAAATGATAGAAGAAGGAAGAAGAAGAGTTGAAGCATGAAAATTGTACCTTCAATTTCCAGCAAAAATATCTCGTCATAGGTAACTCAATTTCTCGCTTCTGATTTCGTTACATTCAATTTGTTGATTGTTGATGTCTTTTACGAATCTTACACTGCTTAGATTAGTTTTCTTCTTTTTTTTGCTCGCTTGAAATATGATGTTGATTTTTGTTATTGTTATCATACCATAACCAAAAACAGAGGTAAAGTTTGATGTTTGTTGTTAGGTTAACAATGTGAAACCGAGTGAGAGAGACTCAGAATGAGAGATATTATTGTTGATGATTTTGTTTGAGCCTGAAGTCGAGGGGTTTAAAGCAGAACTGAGGGAGTTTGGAACGTGAAAATGAGAGTGAAAGAGAGAATCGCGTGAGAAAACGCGAAAGTACCTTATTTTTTTCATGTATTTTTTTGAGGTTGGTTGTTTCTCTTATGTTTGATTCCACGGCCGGCGAAAGAATTCAGTTAGAATTTTGAGAGAAAAGTTGGAAATCTGAGAGAAAGAGATAAGAAGGGAGATGCTAGAACTGAGAGATATTTGTGGTTGTTTGTTCTGAGCGAGTGAAGAGAAGGTTTGAGGATGGTCATTGTTGTTTTATGGATAAGAGTAGGAAGAAGTATGAAACGGAGAAAAAGCGTGAGAGAAAAAGAAGAAGCAGGGAATAGAATAGAGGTGAGCGGTTGAATAATTTAGTGTTTAAGGATTTTGTATTTCATTTTTAGTTTTGGGCCTTAAATCCCACATGACCCGACCCAAGTTACCTTTTCTTGGCATTCTTTTAATTTATGGGCCAACAACACACATCCATGCGGATCACACCCCCCTCTGGCCCAATTGGGTTGTTGTTTTTCTGTTTGTTCTTATTTTATATATTTTGTATGGACAATTGCTAAATTTCTTTAGCCCAATTGCAATTTCTAGCTATATACCTTATATTCTGCTTTGCACCCTTATGTCAACTTTAGTTTAGTTTTTATTTTATTTTCTTAACCTTCAGAAGAAAGATATATGAACAAAGAACTTCTAAAGTCTAGAAGGTTTGATTAAATCAAGTTGTGATATATAACTGCTAATGATTGGAAGGGTTTGTTGATAAAGTAGGATATAGAATTTTCTGAGATATCTAGTGTTGATAACAAATTTCAATTATTTAGAAGGTTCTAACAGATCAAGTTTTGATGAGGAACTTCTATTTAGAAGGTTTTGTTGATCAAACTCGGATAAAAGAATTTCTAATACGTAGAAAGTTCTAATAGATCGAGTGTTGATTATAGATTAAACTCTGATAAAGAATTTCTGATGATTAGAATGTTCTAACAGATCGAGTGTTGATAACGAACTTCTAACCTTAGAAGGGTATGTTAGATCAAGATGTGACAACGAACCTCTCTGATGATTAGAAGGTTCTAATGAATAATGAAATTCTGATAAAGAAAACTCTGATAAATCACTTCCACATGCTTCAATTAGAATTATGGAAAATGTTAATCAAGCTCAGAAAACCCTACTTTTTGATGCAGTCTTAAGTTTTAGGTTCAAAGGGAGATTGTTTAACTCAGGGGGAGTTTTCTAAACAATGGTCAGATATCCCTTCCTTCTAAGAATTGTAAGTTTTATACTTAGGGGGAGATGACGCTAATTAGGGGAGGTTTTTTTCT